GGGGGGTGTACACCCTTCTGGACCACCTGGAGGCCACGATTGCTCGGCCGAGCCTTCCCGAAGCCTCTCGGTTCGTCATGCGCTTCTTCTACAACCTCCAGCGGAAGAAGCAGGAGACGATGACCAGCTGGATACGAGGAAGCACTTTGGGAGGCCTCGCAAAGCCTTCGCAAGGTCCAAAAGGAGTTCGGAGCTCAGTCGAAGCCGAGGTCATGGTATCAAGGTACCCCAACCATTGGCAGTGAACATGGTGGCTGTGTGAAGAGTGAGGGGCATCAGGCTGCACCACGTTCACTACACAGCCAGTCACAAGTGGGTACTCCATTTATGGACAATGGTCTTCTTCGGGAAGATGATGGTGTGTGGCAGGAGGCTCATCATGGTTGGTGGGATCATCATGAGGGTTGGGATTGGTCGCGTAGGTCGCACCACTCCTGGAAGACCCCTGAGTTTGAGCCCCCTTCAACTTGGGACACCTCCTCGGAAATCTTCATCCCAGAGTTCTTGGCAGGCTTCTTGCTCCTGCACCGATCAGGCCTGGACACTCAGGAACGGGCCAATGTCCTCGCAGCCTTGCGAGGTGAATTCTCGGTGACCTCCGTTGGACGTGCTCTTCGTGAGCAATGGAGCGATGAGGATCTTCTTCGTCGCGACCGCCTCAAAGGCGGAAGTGCGATGTTAGCTGAAGATGATGAAGCAGAGCTGGAAGCTCTCATGGCTGATGACCACTCCGATGTCTTGGAGGGCATGGATGCTGAGGCCAAGGAGGCCTATTGCACATCGTGAAGGGGGACGTCAGTGAAGCCTTCCTTCAGGGTCAAGACATGGAGGAGGCAATCTGGTGTCGACTGTCAAAGAAATTTGCCAAGAAATGGGGGTAGCCGATGACACTCCCATGCAGTTGACAAAAGCAGCATATGGTTTGGTTCAAGCACCGCTACAGTGGTATCGGTCAGTTTGCACAACCATGGAAAGCTTGGGATATCGTCGGTTGATCACCGAGCCATGTTGTTGGGTGTACGTTGATGAGCAACAGGAAGTGCAATCTATCATACATGGTCATGTCGACGATTTTGTTTTTGGTGGCCACAAGAACAATCCAGTTCACAAAAGGTTGATGGAAGCACTCCGGCAATCTTTCTCTTGGGGAACCTGGGAAGAACAACAGTTTGAACAGTGTGGCATTCTGGTGACCCAACATGAGGACTTCAGCACCACTCTCAACCAACAAAGGTTCATAGAAGAGATTGAAGAAATCCACATCAATCGAGATCGAGCACGACAACCTCAATTAGCCGCTAGCGACTCTGAGAAGAGCTGTTTGAGAGGGGTGTTGGGAAGCATTTCATGGCTATGTGGACAAACCTGCTTTTTATTTTCTGTGGACACCAATTTCTTGATTTCCGAGATTCCAGTTGCAACAGTAGAAACGATATCAACAAGACAAATGCGTTGGTTCGTTCTGTGAAAAAGTGGAAACATCAGGAATATAGGATCCACAGTTTTGACAAGGAAGCGCAACTCTACATGGTAGCTTGGGCGGACGCAGCATGGGCAAACAGGCCGAACGGCAAAGACTCAACAGCTGGTGTGTTTATTGGTATGAGTGATGAGGGACTAGCAAAGGGCCTCGAAAGAAACATCTCACCAATACACTGGAGGAGCTCAAAAATTGAGCGGGTATGCAGAAGCCCAGCCTGTGCAGAGACCTTAGCCAACACCGAAGCAGAAGATGACCTTCTTTACCTACGAGTTCTTTGGAGTGAGATGTGTGGTCAACCACTTGATCCACGCCTTCCAAATGAAGCTGCAAGATACATACCAGCACTTCAAATCACAGACTCCAGAAACCTGTACGACAAAGTTCATCGACCTACAGTGGTGATCAAGGGAGCAGAAAAGAGAGCTGACATTGAGGCAATCTCGCTGCGTGACAACCTTGAAGAGTGCAACACAAAGCTGATGTGGGTACATGGTGGTGCAATGATCGCCAACAGCCTCACCAAATGCTCTGAAAAGCATCAAGCAGTGATGTACACGACCCTCGGTTTTCGTTTTCGCATTACCTGTGAGGGAGATGGCAAGTCCGAGAAGGTTCGACGTCGAGAAGGACTGAACCCACTGGACCATGCGTGCACAACATACAACGAAAGACTCGTATCGGATCGTTCCTGGAAAGACTGCTAATTTTCTAGTTTGGGACCCGTGCAAATGTCACGACATCGTGGTCCATCCACTGATCCTCTTGTGCCCAAGCACCCCCCTAGGTGTGAGGAAATAGGCCGCCGTCCGCAGTTTTGCATACAGTATATATATATATGTATAGGGTGTAGCCCATTACTGCTAATAGTTAGTAAAAGATATCACTGTTTTAGAGAACCGCTGTTACTGGTACTGGTAATGGGGTATATATACAAATACCCCGATATACACATACATACTTCTCCGATGCTGTCTCTTTTTTGCATTGCCCAACGCCCACCTATATTAAAAAAAACAATAGGGGGAGTAATAGCACAGGAGTGGAAAGATCAAGTTCATGGGGATTGCCATATCATATCTATAGATGGTAGATATGTAGATGGAGAGAAGGATATAGAGCAATCGATCCGCACTGGCCTGGCAAGGCTTTGCAGCAACGCCAGCTGAGCATTGTGGGCCTTTCAGCATAGAGGAGGACAAGGCTACCAGCCGGATATTGCTCAAATCATGAGCATTGAGTTTCAGAATTGCCAGTACTGACGAATAGATTTCACCGGCCGTCACATTGGGTTCCAGGATCAAAGCGATGCAAATATTGCTGGAAACCTTCCACCAGGAAGCTGCTCGTCTTCTACGACCATTTGTTTTCCCGGACCTGTTGTCACACTATGTCATGCTTGCTTATTTGGATCTGGGCTTTATAACTGTCATTCACCGCGAACTGCGAGAGCCTTTCATCAAGGTCCAAAATGCCACAAGATGACAGCATCACCTGAAGCCACTGCACCAATAATGGAGGACACTACGGGATGTCAAATAGTAGCAACCAATAAATCAGACACAGTAGCGCCTTGGCCCACGCGCACAATCTGCTGTGCCGAGCTAGATGGCCTGAGGAGACATGTGCAGATTCCTTCCTATCTGAGACAACGGCCCAAGCTGGTCATTTCGGAGCTGCTTGGCAGTTCATATCATGTGCCCTTTAGGGCTTCAGCTTGGATGCATGAGGTCTTGTATTGTGGATGTTGTGGCTGCGTATGCAATCGGCAAATTGTTATTGCCGCCGCAAGCATCGCGCGACATCAAGCATTCAACACAGGTAATAAGAGCAACACAATTCACAAGATGAGCCTAAAAGCAAGGAATATGGTTTTGCGTGGGGGTTGCATGGAACTAGAGTACATCCAAGGACTTTTTAGTAAACACTTGATCTTATGGATTTACGTTATGTTTTAGTACATAGTTGAATGAACAAATTTGCTTACCAGTGCAATCTGTTCATTTCTAGGTTCATTTCATTTAGGATTGGCAAAATGTGCAATTTGTCACAATTTTCTATCGCTCACAACAGGCCCCTTCCAAACAATTATATATATATATGTTAAATTGAGCCAATACAATGTATATAACTGTTTCATTCTTGGGTTGTCTTGACTTTGTAGGCCAGCCTGCTGCCCAAGTGCAGCAGCGCACTGACCCTCCTCCTTCCTTGCTCCCTTGCTTTCTTTTATTTGGTGTTTGCAGCTTGGACCCTTGGTTTTGCTGCTTTGCTGATGCTTATTTGATTTCTTATGTCTTGCTTTATGGAAATATGTATATGGCTTTGGTATATAAGCATTTTCTGATAAGCACTCATGATCATGATCCAACAAATAGATTCGTATTACGAGTTTTCCGGCCTTTTATTGGGTCATGTTATGATTTTCTTGTTTCCGTTGTTTCTATTAGAGAAACTCCAATATGTTATTATAAGAAAATGTACATGTACATAATCACTATTCCTACATATGCTTTTTAAAAATCTATCTACACCATATCATTTCTCTAAGAGCAAGAGCAGAAAAGATTGCAAGGAAAATGCGTGGAGAAGATAGAATAAACAGTGCCTATTAAGTTCTTTTGTGTGTTTCTGCTGTCTCTTTCTTCCCTTCAGTTTCCTTCCTTAATATGTGGTTCCAAAGTCTCTGATCCCTCACCTGTAGGAATAATGGAAATATGCATTTCTATTATCTTCATTCATATAGGCCTGGAACCACACTTGTACATATCCCGCCTTGAAACTGCACACCGATCTTTGGGGGGTAGCATGCATCTATATATGCAAATGTGCTTACTTACAGGGTATACACTTATGATTGAGAAGAATGAACAACTGAACTGGGGCGGCAAGTTCGGCGGCAAGACACCATATATATATAACATAGCTCAGGCAGGGAGAAAAAGCTCAGGGAGCGTGCCTAAGTCATGACATGAAGCTTTCATCAGTCATATTTCTCCTTGGGCACGGTATTCTATTTTATGTTTTGTTTGATTATGTACTAGTACTGGCAGTTCGTCCACAACTCCTATGTCATCCTGCTGTGCACTACATTTGGCGTCTTTGTCTACTGACTGATGACTTAATCGCAATGGTCCACAATCTCTATGTCAATGTCATTAGCCTAGCTAACTTATCATAGCCTAGCTTACTTTTGTTCACCTCTGTCGTCTCACGTTGACGTTGGTCTAGATCCAGGTCTGCGATTAGAGACACTTGCTTGGAAATTGTTGCAACTTCTGTCCTGCAACACTCGCTTTTGTATTTCTCTTTGTTTGTTGCCTGCAACCGCGTGCAAGTTGTGGCCCTTTATGATGCTGATCCTTCAAGTTCGCGAAACAAACAGGCGTTGTGGGATGATTATTCTTGAATGTAGCTCACTTGGGTGGTGACTGACTTTTGTAGTTGCTGCGCACTTCGGTCTAGCATATTGCTGCGCACTTGCGTCTAACATGGGCTTGCTTTGACGTCCCTGCCTAAGGAAAGTCCTGGCGCCATCGATGCAAACCAGTCTTTCCAAACTGATGGCGCGAGCCGTATTGCGGGGCACTTTGCCATTGCAGCTGCTATCCCCGAAAGCTCCTGCGAAGGGTTCTCCGTAAAGAAAAATCAGCTTCATATAGACCCACATCATCACTTTCATCAGCTTCATTCATCTTCCACATCATCACCTGCACGATCATCACCTTCATGATCATCAGCTTCATGGTCATCGATTCGTCATCATCACCCTCCTCCTTTTTTGTCCTGAGCAGCAGCAGCAGCATCATAACTTGCTCAAGGCTAGCGGCTGGCGGGATCCTATCCTGAATCAAAGGGTCCTCCCCAGGTCGCCTACGACCTAGCTGGAAAAGTGGCAGCAAAAGGGCACGCTGCGCTGCCGTGCCCGCAGTCTCTGACGCAGAACTTCGTGCAGCCTTAAGCCGGGGCGCAAATGCTCATCAAGCGTTGCTAGCCCGAGGCTTCACAACAGGCTGGCACGTGCACGATCGCTCTGGTCGGTGGCTCTCAGACTCCAGCCAAAGAACCACCATGGTATGCCGCCAGCTGCCATATGCCCTCCAAGGTTTGGGTTGCAGCAGACGCACCTGGCCTTCAAGCGTCCTCCAGTGAGTTTAATAATAGGGTGTTGCACCAGCTCAGCCTAAGCTGGAATCAGTGGCGCAGGTCAATGGATACGATTCAGGCTTCAGCCAGAGGATCCAGAGGATGTAATTACACTTAATTAGTGCGTTGCAAGTTGTGCAACCACAGAAGTAGATGCGATGGAACTTTGAAATATCGGTTGTAGCCTAGCTGCAAACTATCTCATTGCTTGTCCACGCATGGGTTTCTTATGAACTTCATCTCATATCTTGTGGCCATCCTTCCCGGCATAGTTGTGTGGAGGTTTGGAGCAGGACGCCTTCAACCTTTCGAGTGGGTGGGATTTCTCCAAACCAGGCTTGTTCAGATTTATAGTGTCATCAGGCTTGACATTTTCATCATCAGTTTGCACCATCATTTTCATTTTTTGTAGAAGAACACAGTGAAGTGAGCCGGTATAATTTATACAGGCTCACTTCACTGTGTTCTGTATAATGTCCAATCTCCAAACATCCGTTAAAGTATATACTTTAAATATCAAAGTCCTGCTGTGCTGTCGGGCCACTCTGTCGTCTAGCTTGAGTTGTTCAATGTATTTTCTGGACGCCGTCAATTTCAGAAAGAGCAATTTTTGTCAAAGGCCTTCAACTCGCCATTTGTTGATGAGACCTTCTCAACTCCTGGAGTTCGTGAACACAGCCGTGCAGGATGAGTTTGGTGTATTTTCGCCGGGGAAAAATGGGGCTTGCAAGAATGATGTTCGGGTTTCAATGTGCTTTGCGTCTGCGCCGGAAACAGCGTGCCCAATACAGTTTCCAGCACCGTACCACCAGCAATGCTAGACTGCGCGGCCCGAATGAAACAATGCACTATTTTCGCAAAGTTCGACAGCTCGACAGACAAACATACCGGATCTTTGAAATAGTTTTTTGAAAAGGGTTGCGTATGGTTTCGTGTTCATTGACATGCGCACGGCGCCTTTCTGGTGTACACAGGTGCACCTCAACGAAGGGAAGAAGGACAAAAATGACTCAGCGATCGAATCGGTAAATGAAGAGTCCAAGAGTGAGTTTCGACGCCCCTGCCTGCGCCCTATGCCTACTCTGTGCCTTGACTTCGGATTGTTCTTCCTCTGACTCGCTCGATGTTGCCCACACCGGATCTTGCTTGAGAGGCGCTTCGTTGCTGGTCATGACGTTTAAAAGCGCCTTGTTTCCTTTGTCCTTCGTGACGCCCACCGACGGTAACAGTGTGGTCCTGGCACCGAAAAAGGAGTTGGTGGTCTTTGTGCCGATCCTGAGGCAAGATATCCGAGTGACGCGTGTCAAAGGCAGTTTCGACGAACATTTTTTCAATCGCACCCAACATTTTCTTCATGCGGTTGGTTTCAATCCCATCTTTGCCACCCCCGCCGTTCGAGCTGTAGGACCCACCCCCGCCCGTGGCCATCTCCTGCTTGACGGTCAGTTTCTGCAATCGTCCGTGCGCTTTTCACCATATTGGTTCACCCTCCCACCGGAACATAGGAACAAGGACGCTACTAGTGGAAGAGTTGGGAGGCAAGAGGTCCTGCAAATGATGTGCTATTTTGAGGCGCCAAGATGTTGCCTGGTTTGCCGGGTTCCGCAAACATGCTGCCCCCTTTGTTGTTCTCGGATGCGGGCGGGCGGTACTTGTAGCTGCATTGTAGCTCTGACGATCTTCTTGTTGCTCCTGGTGCTCGTCGCAGTGCGCGCTCGACCTCCAGGACCTCCAGGGCCCGCGTCGCCTTGATTCTTGATGATGTAGTTGGAGTGGTCGTGTGTGCTCCATGTGTTTTTGCTCATCATGCTCCAGATCAACTGATGAGCAAACCTCACTGCGATCAACTGGGCCAACAAAGTCGGAGGTAGAGGATTCATCACGCCTTGAACTGAAGTGGTGACTTGCCCCAACGACTTACAATCCACTGCTCCCCGGAACACATTAAAAATCATTAAAAGGAATCATGTTGACTGAGCCGGCCCAGATTGGTGGCTGATACCTGTTTGTAGTGAGGAGGATGAACTCGAGTATAATCTCACGCAGAAGATCCGCACTATCACTACCTGGCTCTTTCTTTTCGATCATTTGAAGGCTCATTATTGAACTTGCGAACACGAAGGCTGGGACCCACAGAGCCACAGCGACTGCCAATCGCAGGTCCTTGAGCATCAGCTCAGCGTGATCCAAAATGTAGCCCCCACCAAGAAACGGTCAACAACTAAGGGTGGAGTCTTTCTCTTCCATCACTCCTCGATGAGCTCGCGCGCATGCATGCATGATGAGGCGTTCCATCAACTCTCCCGACTGGCGACGGCGATGGAGGAAGCTCAAAGCCTCGAGCGCGTTGAAAGGAAAGCCAATGCCGCCAGGCTTGCTCACTGCATCACTCTGAAGGTTACGGGCAGTGACGCTAGCCTGCCCCTTCAACGCAAGCAAGCAGGGGCTCAAGCGCATCGTTTTGGGACCCTTGCAAGGAGGAACGAATTGTTGCCCATGTAGCTGAGGATCTTGGTCGTGTTGCCCACACCATGACCAAAAAAACACCAAAAACCTTGTGACCGCAGCCCAGCCACTCAGGAGAAGTGCCCTTGCCACCCAATGCCAAGGCCAGCCTGCTGCACGCATGCAGCCCTGCTCTGCAAAACGGCCCTCATCCAACACCTGGTCCCCCTCCCGCTCGCCACCCGCCAAATGATGTCGGCGACGTCGGGCTCCTCCACATCACCACAACGGCAGCCCCGGACGAATTGGAAGCAAACTCGCATTCAGAATTTGCGTTGTAAATACCTAGACACTTGTTGTATTCAGAAAGTCTGGGATTCACGTTTCGAAGCTATGTTCGTTGTATTCAGAAACTACTGTAGTTCGTTGCATTCAGACAAGTTACTTCGATGAATAAAGGCCCAGGGGATGGCAGGGGGGTCTTAAACTTTGGTGGATAGTTGCGTGGACCTGCTGATGTGTTCTTTGGCATGAAGGGGCGGGACGGGGTCGGGGGTGTGGCTGGCAGGGGCAATAAACTTTGGTGGATCGTTGAGTGGACAGATGTGTTCTTTGGCATGGGGGGGGCAGGGGAGATGGACTTTGGTGGGTACTTGCGTGGACCGGACTGTTGATGCGTTCTCCAGTGTCGGCGGGGGCAATAGCTGGCGTGAAACTTGGTTTCCGAATAGAATCCTGCGGTTTCCGAATGCCTGTTCTGACTACAGCCATAGAGTTTCTGAATGCAACCGTCCATGCGACTCGTTTCTGGCACATGCCCTTAGATGACATGAATGTCAGGCCAGCTGCATGATGTTTTGGTTGTTGTCCAAAGCTTCTGCAAACATCATGAAGAAACATTTTGATCAGTCACCATCAAACTGGTTCAGCCATGTTCAGCCCTTTCTTTTTTTGCTGTAGCAGGATGCGCAACGTCCTTTGTTTCTGTAGCAGCTGCGGATTTGGCACGCCAGCACCTGGAGTGGGTTCAGGAACTGGAGTCTGTCGACACTTAGCTAAATTTGGGCGTTGGATATCAGAAGTCACAGTCCAGTCACGTTGAATGACAGTCATGTGTCCATTGCTAGCTGTGAGGGTGTTTAATCTCGTTCGTGCAGTGTTGCGACAATTAACTTCATATCCTTTGCGCCACTTTTGAACAATTTTGTTGCGCCAATTGATTTTCACCAACGTCAATTGTGCAGCATGCAGCATGTGCATTAAATTTTATATGCTAGTTGACTAGTTGGCATCCTTGTGCAGCACATGCGATCATGGTTCAATGACTCGCCAGTTTTTGTCATTGTTCGGGCACTAGAGTTTGAGTGTGGTATATAGGTTACCTATGGTTACCTGAAGCTTCGCCCTGCCCGCGCTAGAGCCAAAGATTCAACGGTTGTGCAGGTGGAAGCTGGCATGCTAAGGCAGAGAAGGAAACGACGGGGTGTGCGCCGCCATCCCCCCAATTGCAGATCAAACAAGGTGTGGAGATCGGGTGCCTGTGACATATCCAGGTTGACAAACACAGTCGCAGAAAGAACGAGATTGTAGTCGGTCGCAAGGCTTTGTGATACCACCAGTTTGGGCCTGAAACACACTGCCTACACGCAACCACTGAGAAAGCTCATCACCTCATCCAGGCGCGCTCACGAACTTTCCACGTAAGTGTTCGAATTGCTCACAGCTGCATGCACGCACACCTTCACCACCATATTCGTTGTACACCACGCACGTTTGCGTATCCCAAGGACCAGAAGCAAGTTGACCTGATGATGACACAATGGCTCCTTGGCCCATGTTGTTTTGGTTATAACTTGATTAACGTATATTAATGATTTTTTGGGTGATGGAAAGGCGGCTTTAATAGCTTATGTAGCAGAAGAGTTCAGGCTTGAAACTCCCAGCACCTGAGAGAGTGGCGGGAGCTGTGTTGAAGAATTCCTTCCATGATTGAGATTTGGTTCCTAGATTGATTCTTATTTTAGTGTAACTTAATATTCCATAAATCAGAATCACATGGCATCTTGCTTTGGGCAGCATTGTCGGGACCTTTCCAACTTCCTGAGATCACCTGCTCGGGGATTTTTTTTAAATCTTGCAGCTTGCATGCTTTGCTAATGCGGTTTGTGGATTGCAGATTCAGAAATGTATCGGATATGTGGGCAGGAAACTCCTTCGCAGCCAGACTGGCATGCTAGCGCAGCAGCTTATCGACATGCGCAAGGACGGGAACCTTGAAGACAACACTTATGCTCTTATGGTGGCAAGCCGCTGATCCACCAAACCTGAGAAAACATGTTGGACACAACACGTAGCTTACAGTACTTTGGCCCAAGAATATGATCTCTGAAAAACGTTTCACTGTCCTGGCCATTTGCTTGTCAACAGCCACTTCAGCACACTCGGAGTTTGCTCCATCTGTGCTCCTATCTTCACTTCATCCAGTAAGCCGCACTGGGTACGGAGGCCAAGTCCAACTTCTAGTGGCACAACTGCAGTCGAGAAATTGGCACGTCCAGCTTCTCGCATGGAATTTGCGTCATAGAGGGGAAGGTCCTTGTAAGGACTTAGAGGCGCTTCTGAGCCGCAAGGGTCTCAGAGCTGAAGCCTTGAGCCATGCTGGTGGGGACCCTCGTGCTTTGCTACCAGGTGTTCCGATTGTCACTTCAAGGGTAGCACCACCGACTGGGTATGAAGACGGCTTGGGGTGGCTGGAGATCACTAGAGCCATAGAGCTCTTCTCTTCAGAGTCACAAAAATGCACTGCAAAGGGCTTGCTTTGCTCCTTCCGAAAGCCTGATGTGCTCCTGCATTTGCACGATGCTTGGTGGCTGGGGCCCCCTCCCACCGATGTGCGCAATGCATGTTTGCCGCCGATGGTCGCTTGGCTGCCCATACTGTTCGACCCCTTGCTCAGTGATGATCCAGAGAGGCCTGATCGTTCTGGCGCTGCGCTAGAGATGTTTAGCGGAGTTATAGCTATGTCGCTGTGGGGCCGCGGTGTCTATGAAAGGGCTTTGGCAAGCCTGGCTGTGAGCACTGTGACTGGCACACAACGCGGCCAAGTCCTAGCACGCTGGCTCCCCCCCTTTGCTGGGCCACATTCCACATGCATTGAACCCTGCATTTGGAGAAGGGCCCCTGGCCTTTGAGAGTCAGTCACGCAAAGAGCTTCGACAGTCATTTGGGATCCCAATGAATGCATTTGTTGTTCTATTGGTTGGACGAAACCCACCCCCGCCAAGCTCGGAAGCAAATCGCAAATCTCATCGGGCTGCCATCAGGGCATTTGCCCGCTTCAAGGCACGACTCTCGCAAATATGTACTTCTCCCTGTGTCTCCACTGCACACCTGCACGTTCATTCCGATTTACATGGCGCAGTTGACATTCCATCTCTCCTCAGAGAGGCCGGTTTGTCTGTGGAACGGCAGGGGGGAGCATCTAGCAGTCAGGAGAACCTATCCCCGGAGATGTTGCGCAACCTCTACAGTGCAAGCGATGTTTTGCTACAGCTAAGCCGTGCAGAAGGTTTTGGACTACCTGTGCTTGAAGCACAGGCATGTGGCACTCCTGTTGTGGTGAATGGCGCCACAGCCATGGCTGAGAATGTCCTGCTTGGGAGGGTTCTCCTTCCGACTCCGAGACAATCCCCAAGTGGAGGCCGCAGTGATCGTCCAGGCTCCTGGACACCTCCAGATGGGGCAGCAGCAGTGGAAGCTTTACTGGAGATTTGGGGCTCACCTCCCACAGCTGCAGAAAGGAATCGAGTTCGAGTGGCCCTTGCAGCTGCTTTTTCACCGTGGCATGTTGCAGAGCAAATGATCCAGGTTCTGCAGCCCTTCCTCAACAAGCATTCTGAGCTACCCGCCGTCCCATCCACTACAGTCAGTGAAAGTGCAGAGCAACGAACTTATCAAGAGCAGTGGAAAAGGTCCAGCTTCTGTGAGGTAGAGTTCCGTCAAGCGGAGAGCTGCTGGAGAAGCAAGCCCGGCAACACCCAATCTACACCATGCAAAGTCGTAGAAGATGCGTTAAGAAAATGTTTTTCCAGAGAGTGGGAACAGCCGAGCTTTGCACACGGGTTTGCAGAGCCGATTAATCGTCTTGTGCCTACTCGTCACGGATGGCCGATGCTATACAATATTTTTGATATTGCCGTTGGGCGCACTCTCGAGATTTGTGGGGAATGGTTGCCACACGAGAGACGCATCTATGAGAAACTTGATCTCAACAGGCCCAATGTTAGAGTGCTAGAGGCGGGGGCAAATGTCGGAGCTGTGACAATTCCTCTAGCCATGCAACTTCAACATGGGCGAGTGTTAGCGTTGGAACCGAACAGGATGAATCTACAGCTTCTCAATGCAAACCTGGCCTTGGCACAGCTTTACAATGTTGATACGTTCCACGCTGCACTGGGTCAGCACCAAGGTGCCCTCCCGGAGAAGAAAGACTCTGCTGAAGCCAATGGGGGCTCACAGGTGTCCTTCGGAGACTCTCGACAATTTCAGCCTGAGTCTCGACAAGTCAAAGTAGTGACAGTTGATCAGTTGCTTGCTCAGGTTGATCGCCTCGATTTTTGGAGACTTGGTGCAGGAGCATCTGGTGGTTTCGGGGTCATGGTTGCAATGCTTGGTGCCATGAAGTCCATTGAGCGCTTCCGCCCGTGGGTGCTTCTTGAACTCACATTTCCCAGCCTGGATTTCCAAGACGATGGTGATGGTGCGTCAGAACTGGAGATTCAGGGCATTCTCCATTCAAAACAGTATGACTGCAGCTTATCCAAAGGGAGCTTTCTATCCATTTCAACTCAACAATGGTACATTCCGGACCGTGCTCGTTCTAAATGTGCACTCGCAGGTATACACAGAGAGCGAGCGAGATGTGTGTATGAATCATGTCATGTTATATAATATATAGGCATAATTTAATATAGTATATATTTTCAACTACACTATCCGGGGAGTACATGGCACAATGTTTTCTATATATAGATGGCCCCCCGGCTTGCTGGACATGGATGCTCCCATGTTTGGAAGATGGCTCAATTGGTAGGTTTTTTCACCATGCAAGGCTAAAATTCCATTAGGTCTCATAAAAAATGCGCCATCTACTCTCCACTCCGACTCATGGGAAAAAGCCGACTCCTTTGCTCACCAGTCCGCTCTCCTTCCACAAACCAAAAACCAGTGCCATCTACTTTCCCCTGAGCACCACCTCCCTTTTTAATGAATTTTCAGCCGATCGGAGTCCGTACGGGAAAAAAGTGCATTTATGCGTTGTTTGCATAATAGATGGCGCGTCAGCACAAAAAGGTACTATTTTGAGGGCCAAGTGCTGTCAAAGTAGAGTAGAATATTCGATTTAATGTAATACATGACACTACAGTATACAATAGACGCTATATATAGATAGCTTATAATGTAATACAATACAATGAACATATAAGAATATATAGTTGGTTATTACATATTATTTATAGTGTCACTACCTATGTAATTAGTATATGTATAACTAGTTGCCCACCCACAAGTCAGAGCAATCCGGGAGTAGGTGTGGGCATGAAGCTAATCCAACTTGTGCCGGGTATCCGCAGATGTCCATAGCTGAAAAGATGTGCAGACTGCGAAGCCAGGAACCTTCAAAAAAGCACCGGCATTTGACACAGTGTTTTTACATGCGCACAATCATGCTAAACGTGCGCCCGATTTAGTTTTGTGTTCTGGAGTCTGGGGCCTCCAACAGCCAACCAGAACCTCAGGCTCCCGACACAAAATGGCGCCCCAATCCACTGAGATCTTATGACAAGCACGTTTGCAGCAAACCTGACAAACAACAGGCTAGACAGATAGATGGTTTGCCCATTTATCAACGAAGTTATGGAGCATAGGGCAGTGGCTTAAAGTCAGATTTTGAGCACGATGGCGGTTTGGGAGTTGTTGTTCCCGGAAATGCTCATGTTGCTGCTGTAAATGATGTAAAGCATCACTGTTTGTAATTATATGGTGTTATACAAGATGCATTAACATCAAAGACAGTGAAATCTGCGGTTCTAAGAGGTTGCTAAGTGCAAGGCTCCAGCTTGGTTCTCGGAAAATCTGGCCAGGTTCCAAGTACACACCTGTGCTTTGGGCGGGCTCTCATTGGGTTCTGAAAGGTAGCCAAGGTTTGAAGCTCAGTGGGAGGTTTTTAGTCTTCGAAGGCAATGGCTTTGGTAGATTAGTGACGGCCCAATGCCTTTTGAAAGGGTCTGGGTCCGGGAGGTTCCGAGCATTTCCAAGTGCGGAAGGTTTCATTGGGTTTGAGGAGGTTCTGTGAGGTTAGATTCAAGAGGTTTTGGAGTGCAGATTTAGCATGATAAACCAGTTGAGGCTGACATGGAACTCGTTGTTTGTATTTTTTGTTGGCGCTTCAACATTTTTTGTTGGCGCTTCAACGTTGGAGAAATTGGCCTTCAATATCTTCAATTGGGAGAAAGACGGGAGATAGAACGTTTGCCTTTTCGTTTGCCTTTTTTCAAGCGGTTGGAAGGACTACTATGGACGATGTGTTTGCGTTTTTTTCTGAGATCAGCTCGGCAGCAAACTGCCCCAGCAGCCTACGCAGACCTGTGCTTTAGACATGACAACAGAAGCGTAGAAGCCAAGGGAGCTGTTTTCCTCTGGAAGCTTGCCGGCTTGTTTTGAAAATCATTGCAAACATAATTGCATACGGCACATCACAATAGCCTTACCTCACCTGACAGGATTTGGGTAGTTGGCTTTTCAGCAGGCTGTGTTGGCCTTAATGCTGCAATGCAAATCCTCAGCAACGCTGCCGCCACCACCACCACCACCACCAGTTGCAACAGCTGCAACAACAACAACACCAGCAGCAGCAACAACAGCAGCAACCACAACCCAAACAACAGGAACAGCAAGGTACGCAACAAGAACTCAGACCCTTACACACGCACACACGCACATCCTCTTACTCTGTCTCTCTAATGGGGGTAGAAACTCAGGCTGGAGACCTGCCCCCCAATTTTCTGTAATCCGGTCCTCCTATTAAAAAACACGGGCCCCCCTCAATAAAGAAACCTCGGTCGCATTTTTTTAAATAGGGGGTCTCCGAAATCGGGGTGGTCCAAAATAGGGTCACCTGGGAAGAGCTTCAAAACAAAAAAGTAACCAAATTACTTTACTTCGAGTGATCCCCACCTGGCATTCTATCTGGCATATCTTCTT